GGGGGGGGGGGGGGGGGGGTGGGGGGAGGTGCTTCATGGGGTCTCTCAAAGTGAGAGGCCCAGGTAGTCGTCCCAATTCACTCCCCCTAGGAATGGCTGTGTCTATATCTATATCTATACCTATATCTATATGTATATCTAGATAGATAGATATAGATATATAGATAATATTTTTCTATGTAACATTTTTATCCAGCACTTTACCAAAAAAAGGAGAAATATAGGCTTGTATAGAGTTGAAGACAGTGAAGAAAATTTAAAATAAAACCTGTGTATCGCAAGACCAACCCCTGCCTCCCCCCACCCACACACACAGTCTCCCAAGAATGGCAGATGGGAGAGAAAGCTCAGCTGGGGAACCTTTCTCTTTAAAAACCTGCCTCAGAGAAAAATCCAAATTATTTGGATTTTGACTCAAGTCTCCATGACTGATTTTCAAATCAAATTTAGAAGTAGGGGTAGATGACTCCCCCCACTCCACCCCCACCACCTAGGTTTCAGCTTAAAATATTCAAATTTTCTATTAAAAGTTTAATATCAGTAGTTTCTGAATAAACAGACGAGCTTATTGGAAAAGCTTCTTGAAAACCCAATTGTCTGTTAGAAAGTAGTTCTGAAGGAAAAAAATTGACTAGCCCTTGTCAATATATATTCATGTAATTTGGTCCAAGGAGAAGGGAGAGATTTTGCCACATAATACCCATCAGAACAGACACAGCCAAGGTGAGAGGAAGGGCGCAGAAGCATATGTGTACTGCAACAAAATGGATTTCTTTCCATGAGAGTAAAGTATGAGTATTATGTGAATCCCTTTTACTAAAGGGCTTATGACAAGGGCTTATTGCCTTTTGGGACTGATGGAGTAGTCTCAGGCCAAAAGGTAAAAAGTGAGTTACATTTTTCTCCTTAACAGAGACACATACCAGCTCTGTAAGGAACTAATATGGCTTCCAGATTTCAGATATTAATACTATTTGTTTTCACAATAAAAGGAAGTGCAAATACTAAGGGATTAAAGTTCAATGCAAAACCCTCATTCATTTATCATTGGTGTTTTAAAAGGTGTCAACTTACATATGCTTTTCTAGATCTCTCTTGGTTCGCTGAAATTTTCACGATCATAAATTCAAGTAATCTTCATTAATATTTGAAATAATCATCCCTAAATTTTAATTCCAAAAGTCCTCTAAACTTTCCCTTCACAACCTGCTCAAAGTCATCAGAGATATTGAGCCAACTGATCAAAACAGGAAAACTCACAGTCCCACTCTAAATTCAGTTCTCCCCCTCCTTTTTTCTTTCATATTGTAGAATAATCTAATGAAAAAATGACCTAAAATGAAAGAGGACCTGTTATGGTTACAAAAGAAAAAATAATCTACATTCTCAATTATTTATATCAGCATCGAGTGGCTATTCTTTTTTACTCAGGGTTTTATATGTATATTTATTTTCTTTGACGTCTGTTTCTTATACTAACCTTCTGTAAAACTCCAGTATGCTGAGCTATCGATGAAGGCAAATTATGTAAGAATTTGGTTTGGTTCAGAAACAATATATCTTTTAAAAGATACATTGTTACAGTGCTTCCCGGTAGGGTCACACAGAGAGGCTCTACCAGTAATGATAAAGAAAAAAGTGCTTACAATCACAACTTTTATATCCCAATTTTAATACAGTGCTTGCAAAAATATTGTGGACAGGTATAACAATAAGCAAAGAGATGGGTATTCTAAGTATTTTTTTAATTTTTATTTGGAAACAATACAGTACATATTTAAAAAGGGTTAGAGTGTTGTTTCAGAATTGTTTTTAGTCTAGCAGCTAGATGCCATTTCTTCTGTCTTGTAGAAACACAGCATTATTAGAAAGACTTCATGTTATTGCTAATATTTTATTGCTGTCTGCTGAATAATCTTCTGTTAATATTTTCTTCTTTCAGGAATACTGATACACCATTTCTTCTTTTCATGTCCTACCTTCAAGCCCACACTGCTCTATATGCATCAAAATATTTCAAAGGAAAGAGTAAACATGGCTTATATGGGGATGCTGTGGAAGAAATGGACTGGAGTGTAGGTAGGTAGTACATTTATTGAAGTGTTATTGCTTAAATAATTTCTGAGACATTTCTTTTATCTTCACTGGAAATCTGTGAACATTCCCAAAGTCCATCCCCATTACAAAAAGACTAAACATTTGTATGCCTAAGTGATTAGAAGCTATTTAGTAAAATATAGTAACAGTAAGACTGCATGTATTTTGTTATATGGTTCAGTCAACCTAACAAGTCAATGAAGGTTCAGTATAGTGTAAGTCACCAATGGGAAAGCAGTCATTAAAGCCTGGGTTAAAGTGATTTCACAGGGCTGTCATCAAAAGAATTTATGATAAAATAACAGTAAAATCGTATTATGCATTATTATTGATACTGTTATCGTCATAAAAATATATGAATAACTCCTATTTATTGAAGAAGTCAGTTATCTGGGGGATGTAATTCTCTGGACACAGTTCAGCCAAAGGCCAGTAATTCACCTTATAAGGTAGTGACCCTCTCAGCTACCAAATACTGGAGAGCAATAATCATGAAATCCTTCAGTGGACCTACTTTATTTCTGGGCATATGGGAATGACTTTCCATTTCTGGAAGTAATCACCTGTGAAAACAACTCAAAAGTTCATACTTGAAACAATCAGGCTGAAGTATACCAGTACTGAAAGATAATGACCCTCCTGTCTTCCTCCCCCTACTTACCCCAGAGCAATTTTGGTTTCAGAACAGTCAAGTACAAAATTGCTTTCTTCGAGCAGGCAATATTTATTAAATTACTAAAAACAGACTTTCATCTCAGTTTAAAATGTGTGTATAATAATACATTTTCAGACAATGCCTTTTGATTGCAAGCATGTACAGTTCAATTCCATATGTATTTCTATTTATAATTAGGGCCAAGAAATTCTATTACAAATGTCAAGGGATGAATGGGCTATAGTAATCCTTCAAAACAGTACACAAAGAGTTTGTCATATACTTAGAGAAATAGTGTCAAAAAGAAAGGTGGAAAGAAGCTCTTGAAGGCAGAGAAATATTTTTGTGAACAGCTGAACCTGAAAAGTTTTCTGTTTTAGAGTTCATGAAAGTAAGGAAAACTTATGCAGCTCTTTGTACATTCGCCACTCATTCTGATGGTCTGGTTTATTACCATTCCTGAGCTGATTGTCTGCTACATTAGCCTTAGACTGCCTTATAGGTCCTGTGAGACTGCTAGTTTCCCAGGTTGCTTATTTGTACTAACAGGAAAAAAATATTAAATGGTGCTGCTTTCTCTTACGTAATAGGAACTATAAAGAAAACAAGTAAGAGAAAAGATTTTCAAAGAAACACGAAAGAGTTAGGTATCTTTTGATATGGGCACATGAACTATTTATTGCAGCATAAAAGGGGGTGGAGATTTATGGCACATTGGCTGCTCCACAATATCTTCCCACATCCATGTTCTTACCCCGTGTTAGACCAAAACATCGAACCATAGTAGCATGGCCATTTTTGAGAGTACTAGAGTGTGTCCCAACGAGCACTCACTTGTGGTGTGTGGCACCTCAAACCCATCTGAAGTGCCTCAAACAGCACATGACACAAGTGCACCCACTTACCACGCTGCTAATTAACAGCATGACCCTTTCTTTGACACCTGGAGATCCTGGTGTCAAAAAAAATGCTGCTAAAAAAAGCAACACAGCATGTGTGTCAGCAGCATGCAGCACCAGAAACAGAGCCTGGCTGGCCAGAGCCACACTCTAGCTGCCAGCCAGGCTTCAATCACTTGGCTCAGTGTTGCTGCTCCCCCAGGAAGCCCCCAGGACCCCAGGTAAAGCTGCTGAGACCAGTACAGGTGATGGCCTCAGCTTCCCCTACCCCACCCAGGGCAATTGCCATGCACGAAAGCATGCATGCAGGGGCATGCCCAGGGACAAATAGCGGCAGCGCAAATACATGCTGCTGCTATTTTTTGCACAGGAAATGTGTGCACTGGTATGTGTGCATTTGTTGAGATGCACCCCTAAGTTATAGTGTTTTACCCTGAGATAAGAGCATTCATGTGAGCAGTTACTGTGGAGAAACTGATGTCGTAAATCCCTGCTTGCTTTTACCAGGCAACAGTCATACACAAATGCCCCAGATCATTGAAAAGGGCACCTAACTCCCAGAGGCTTCCTCAAAAATTCAAGGCAGAATATATCCAAGTAAAATAGATGTGATTAGCTAAGGATGGCATTCTGTTCCCTTCTTTATCATCTGCGGATGGCATTCATACCATCTAAGGGTGGTCTCTCTTCTGGAGACCAGTGGTCTTCTGGTGGTCTCTCTTCTGGAGCACCACTAGACCAGTGGTGCTCAACCTTTTAGCCCCATGGGCTGGATGAGTGGTGTGGGACTGATCTGCAGGCTAGATCCCCCATGGGGTCAGTATGCAGGGTTGAGTCTGACACATACAGAAAGGTTCCCAGACACAAATCAGGACCCTATCAGCCCCCCTGGCAACCTGGCCCAGCTCCACACACCCAGCCTATGCTGCCTCTGTCCTGACTACCCAGATTGGGGCCTGCACTGCCTTGATCAGGCCCCACGTGCCTGGATCAGGACCTGTGATCCCAGATCATGCCACACATTTCTGTGGCCCCATGCACCATCAGACCAGCACTACCATGGCCCTGTGCTGCATACTCAGATATGGCCACGCTATTGCCTTGGCCTTGCTTGTCTGATCTAGCATGCTATGCCCATGTTCTCTAACCCACAAGTCTGGAAATCTGGCACCAGAGGAGTAGCAAGTAATACTGCCAGTGCTCCCCTACAGTTCAATTTTTGGACCCATGGAGAACCTGGCAGGATGGATGACACAACTCAATGGCCTACAGGTTGGGTTTTGAGTACCACTGACCTAGGCAACCTGTTTCAATTGTCTACATGATTTTCTTAGATCTCAGAAATGCCACTTATGCACAGGTTGGCTCTCTATTTCTGGATGCATCAGGAACTGTTCATGCTGACCCAGGAAGCCAGTTTCAAGGGGAGTGCCAGAGAAGGAACTAAGTAATAGCTGCTCTCTGGTGCGGTGGTTATAGCATTGCACTGGGAAGTTAGCAATTCAGGTTCAAACTCCTCTGGGTGAAGGTGCCTCAAATGTAGGTCCTCTGGCTTCCTAAGTCAGTGCCCTAGCCAGTCAGTTATTGGTGCAAACCCCACCCCAAAAGACCCTTACGCTGTGTTCCTAAGTCTCTCTGATTGTGGGTTGTGGTTGACTAATGTACATGACCAGTCATCTCTTATTTGTAGTCTATGCACTCAGGATACACAGCTAGGAATAGGATTCCTACCTCTGCCTAGGATTCTTACCTTTTCACTTAGATGACCATAAATGTTATGTAGATCAGCGTTTCTCAACCTGTGGATTGCAACCCAAAAGTAGGTCTCAAAGATGTATGAATGGGTCACAAATAAACTTTAAAATGGAGAAATGTGGGGAACCATGGCCTTTTCCTTGCAGACTGGCAGAGCTTCAGCCTGCCAGGGGCTGTTTGCCCCTCCTCCCCGCCCAGCCTCACTTGGGGGGCGGGGGGGAGAGGAGGGGCAGGAATCTGGGGCCTGAGTGGGGACTGGCCACTGATGTTTAGAAATGGGTCCTAGTACAAAAAAGGTTGAGAACCACTGATATAGATAACCAAAACTGGCCACTTAGATGACTAGGAAGGAACTGGAATGCTACCAAAATTTATCTAATATCTTGCTAATTTCATTGTCCAGCGTGCTATAGGTTCTGTGCTGAAAAGCATAAAGAATCTTAGCTGGAATAGGTGGCCTGAAAAAATGAAAAGCTGCAGACTTCCTACAAAAGGAGTAGTCACCTACTGTCACCCAAATGTAAATAATTAGGTATACACAGAGAAATATGAAGGAAAAAACACCACTACAGATCTCAACTTTTCACAAAATCTTTTAATAGAAAAACCCTCTGGGTTTAGCATGGCAAATAGAAAATATGGAAAACCACATTATAGCACAATACTGAAAAGGACCAAATTCTTATAGCAAAGGATATACTACCTTAATTGAGTTATTTGAGAAATGCATGGCACCTAAGGTACAGTATGCACAGTACCAGGGATGTTCTATTGTTTGGGGTAATGTGCCTTTGGGGATGGGGGGGGTCATGAAAGGAAGGGAGAAAGAAGAACAGATGTTCTACAGTTGTGACTGTCAGATTCCAGAGATCAAGCATTTCTTTCAAAATCAGAAGCATGAAGGTAAATGAAAATTTCCTGATTTGAACTCAGGATAAAAAAATGTCTTATGGCACATCACAAAATTCAAGTAAAATGGAAGGATTCCCTGTTGAATCCCTCAGACAGAGAATCTTGAATCAAGGAAAATTCTTTCTGGAAAGTTAATTGTCTAACTCTTAGTAATGAATCTTAGTAAAAAGATTTCAAAGAAAAAATAATGTTTCACATGGGAGCTGACACAAAGGCAGGTCGATGAAATGCTCCTTTAAATATTTCATGTTTGTAGTTTGTTAAATTGGTAGGTGATGATTATGATTACATTTTATGTCACAGATACTAAGCACAGAGTCTAAAGATAAGCTTTGAGACAATATATTTTACTGTTCTTGCATATTGATGCATATGTAACGGATTTCAACATTTAAAGAATTTACAGTTATAATGTCACTGCATATAATATGCCCTGGAGGGTTATAATCAGGCTAGTTAACATTTTAATTTTGTTTCAATGTAGATTAAGTACCTTATTAATGTTATTAATTATACTTCATAGAGCAGGTAGAATAACTTCACATGCTTTAAATGGAAGGAGAAGAGCTGGATCAACAGAATATAATCCTTTTCTCTCTGTGTATTTTTCCCATCTCTTTTTAATAACATAGTAGTGGGTTTGGATTTAATATGGAAGTATAAACAGATATGTGTTGAAATTATTTATGATACAAATTAAGTACCACTAAAAATAAACTGCTACAAAGAGTATCGGAGCCCTCTACAGGTTTACGTCAGTA